GAGATGGAGAAACAGAGAATGAAATCAAGTCTTTACAGGAAGCAGGATGACAGTGAAGGTAATTAGGAGTCAGTGAGTTTGTAGTGATTATTGGTGGCCAGCTTATCCCCAGAAATGGAAACAGATTTGAGGAAGGGAAGAATCAGATGGACCAAGGTAAACAGTGGAAGCCAAATATAAGCTTTTCCAATTCTGGACACGAGGGAAACAGCACCAATGACTCCATCAATGTACTGGAGAAAGAGTTGTATGGGTAGAGGCCAGAGTAGGACTGGAACAAGAAATATTCCATGTACCCAACAAAGAGATCGTCGTAATTGGGGCCCATGTGGGTACACATGGCCACACCTTTGTCCTTAAAATAAGAGAGAGAGAAGGGTCAAAGTGAAGACAAGCTCAGCACAGTAAATGCTAATTTCTCAACTTCAGGTTCCTTACAGACAAACATCAAAATTGAGAGCTGAACTGTAAATTGTAAGGAAAAAGGTCAGGAACAGCACAATTAATCATTGCTGTGAACACATTGAAATTGAAACTGGGCTTCTGGTCACCCCAATTAAAAATTAAATTAAAAGCATTGCAACACTGAATCTGGACAAAATACTAGAGGAAAAAAAGCTCAAAGAAAAATGGTTTCACACAACTTCTGTGCACACCTGAGGAAGTTAGCAGAGGAAATCAACAAGTGATTTCAAGAGTTTGATGTGATGGAATAAATCATCATGTTTGTCTCAAATACATCTCCAAGTTGACAGTGAAGGGTTGGCCACCAAATTCCAACAGGTGTTTACAAAACTTTGGAGTTGTTTATGGAGCTGTGAATGTGTAAAAATGATAGTGCTGGAAGTCAGATTGACAGACCATCATTAATGGAGACTCAAACAGAGAAAACTACCCATTCCCAGGCTTTTAAGAAGAAAGCTTTTTTTTTTAAAAAATATACTTCAAACAGCATCCTCCCAAATGAAGACAATCAAGCCTATGCTTCATTGATAACACAACCTCTAATTTTGTTTTGAAATTAGCTGCATGGTAGCAGTTTCTGGATCAATGTGCTGATACCATTTGTCAAGCACAGAACTTCAGATCAGCTGCACACGTACAGCCACAAAGCTTAGAGGGAACGTTTCTCACAGATAGAAACTGGTAGTCATATACAGTCCATCAAATGGCTAGCTGCCAATTCCTTGAAGTATGGATTGTAGTTAATGTGTAGTCACAGATGTCACACAGACTTGAGTTTATTCTATTTTCTAGAATAAATCCTGGGTTTCCAGTGGAGATTAGTATGTACCATTATGCCATGGCTCATAGTAAATTTGGACATGATGTTTGGGGTTCTGCTTTTAAATTTAATGCCTAGCTTCATTCTCTTAGCATAACCCCTTTCCTAGTTCTACCCATCATATGAATCATAACCACTGTACCCTCCCCTTGCAAGTTCATCTCCAACCCAGAACAGATATCTGAAACCCTAGCACACCACAGGTGTCTAACTCATTCTCTTTACTGCAGAGAAGTGTCAATTTCCTCACTATATTGTCACCTATCATGATTCTTTTGTTCTACCTCCGTGAATGGTTTACTGTACCATGGTGCCATGCTCATCTACACTCATCCAAACAAGCTTAAAAAAAAACTTAGGCCTATTGGACAAGACCTGAGGCTCCTCCACTCTGGTAACCTGCCTCATTTGTAGTCATAGCCAGCTTTCCTTGACTAGTAATCAAATTAGAACACCCTATTGTAAAGGAATGTGTATTCCTCCTGGAATAAAAAGTGTAAGTGCAACTCTGATGTCGTGTCTGCAGCTCAGCCTCCAGCTCAACGATTGAGCAGACGATTCTGTAGCTGCAGCAAATCTACTGTATCGTGTTAATTAAAAATTAATGAACAAACCCCACACTTCCCAAAAAGGTTTAACAGTGCCAGTAAGCCATACAATAGTTACAACTATTACAAAAATTGTAAATCTTGGTAAAGGGTTGTTTTAAAAAAGCACCTTTTAAAATTGAAGTGACTTCTTAGTTCCCTTTTGCTAGAGTCTTTAAGGAAGCAAGTGAGAAAAATATTCACCAAAATATGATTCAGCCTGGTCATATCACCTTTAATTGGTCAAATGTGTTTCTTTTGGGGTGGGTGGGGGGAGAAGGTGGTGGGGGGGGGGGGAAAAGAACCTGGGGTTCAGCTGGTATTCAGAGTTGATTGGCCTCTGGTTCCCTATCCCCTCTCATTGCAGCTTTCCAACTCCCCTCCTGGAGACTGAGTGAAAAGTCTCTTATACAGCCAATGCTCAGATCTACATTGTACAATTAACCTCTTATTTAAGACTACTGAAATTCAAATCAACCTACTATCTGGCAGTTACATAACCATCTTAGGCCATCTGGCTAATTAACTAATCTCAGTTGTTCCCCAGATGCTTATTTATTCCTGCTGAAGCCTGTGGGAGAGAGAACTTAAAATTTACTGTTTAACTTAAAATGCTCATTGCAAACAAGCAGTATCAGATTTTATAAAATAGGAAATGTACTACAGCCAAGTTTGTGAATGATACAAATAGGCAGGAAGGCAAGTGGTAAGGATGACGCAAAAAATCTAGAAGAAGAATATAGACAAGCTAAATGAGTAGACAACATTTAACGGATAGAATACAATGTGGGAAAATGTGAGCTTTACGCACTTTGACAGGAAGAGGAGCACTAAGTTTTTTAAAAAATAGTGAAATACTACAGAAAGCTGCAGCACAGATGGATTAGGAGTCCTCATGCATAAACCATGAAGCGTACAAATTCAGCATAGGGAAGGCAATTGGAATGTTGGCTTTTATTTCAAGGGCAGTGAAGTATAAAAATAGGGAGGTTTGCCAAAACCATGCATGATACTAATAGACCACGTCTAGAATACTGAATAGCTTTTGCACACCTATCTAAAGAAAAATATACTGGCATTGGAGGTAATCCAGAAAATGTTAGTAGGTTGATCCTTATGAGGAAAGATCAAGCAGGCTGAGCCTGTACATATTGGAGTTAAGGCTAAGAGGACAACTCATTGACAGACAAGATAATTAGAGAGCTTGACAGGGTAGCCAATGGAGAGGTTGTATTCCTCTGTCTCCAACGCATCTGCTCCGACGAGGAGACTTTCCACTCTGAAGCATCCCAAGATGTCCTCCTTATTCAAACAATGCTTTTTTGCACCCCATCATCCAGACAGCTCTCCACCATGCTTCCTCCATTCCCTGCTTCACAGCTCTAAACGACTAACTCCCCAAAACATAATAAAGATAGGGTTCCCCTTGTCCTCACTTTCCACCCCCAGCCTCTGCATTCAACATATCATCCTCAAACACTTCTGCCAACTCTACTTAGACCCCACCACCCAGAACATCTTCCACTCCCCACTCCTTTCTGCCTTCCGTAAGGGCCATTCCCTTCGCCACTCCTTAGTTCACGCCACACTTCCCTCCACTCCCCCCCACCCCCAGTACCTTCCCCTGTAAACATAAAAGGTGCAACACCCGCCCACACACCACCTCCCTCACCTCCATCCAGGGCCCTAAATAGTCCTTACAGGTGAGACAGAGCTTCACCTGCATTTTCTCCAACCTAGTCTATTATATCCGGTGCTCCTGATGCGGTTTTCTCTACATCGGTGAGACCACACATAGACTAGGTGACCATTTCACCAAGCATCTTCGTTTGACCTATGAACAGCCAGCCTAACCTCCTGGTCACCGCCCACTTCATCTCCCCGCCACCCCCACTCTGACATCCATCCATCCTCGGCCTCCTCCAGTGTCAGTGAATCAGATCACAATATTGAGGAACACCTTATCTTCTGCCTGGGCACGCTACAGCCTGGAGGACTCAGAGTTCTCCAATTTCAAATAACCTTTCCAGCCCACCACCCTTCCTTCCAGCCACCAAACGGATTCATCCCTCCCATCGGCCAACCGGGTCGTACCTACTACTGGTATCCACCCATCACCACCATTCCGCTACCGCCCAGCAACCCCCCCAACCCGCTTTCTGCTGCACCCCCTACCCCCCACATCCAGTCCTGAAGGAGGTTAATACCTGAAATGTTGACTTCTTTCCTCCAGATGCTGCCTGGCTTGCTGTGTTCTTCCAGCTTCTTGTTTGTCTACCATGGAGAGGTTGTGTTCTGTTGTGGGAGAGTCCTCCCCCACATTCAGAAATCCTGATGTAACATTAACATCAATACCTTCAGACAATAATGTATTTTTTCCCTTACTCACCAATTTCTCCTCCCCTTTTGAAGGTTTTGGCTCTTAGCTAGAGTATAGTTCCTTGGGGATCGATTGCCTCCTTAGTGTTTATTTCATTTAGTAATTTGACAGTCAAAAGTCAAATATTTTAAGTTAAACGGCTACAAAAACTTCAACGAGGCACTGGAAAGCTATTAAAAATACTAAACTTGGTTTATATTCTTCTTCCTAGCCTGGACACTGAAGCCAAACAAGTAACACCTCACAGTATTCAGAGAATCATAGAATTATAGAATTCCTAATGTGGAAGCAGGCCATCCAGCCCATAGAACTCACATCAACCCTCTGAAGAGCATTCCACCCTGACCCCTTGTCCCTACCCTATAACCCTGCAATTCCCATGGCTAATCCACCTAGCCTGCACATCCCTGGACAATTCAACATGCCAATCCACCTAACCTGTACATGTTTGGACAATGGCAGGAAACCAAAACCCCCAGAGGAAACCCACACAGACATGGGAAATGTTTCTGTGGAGTTTGCACACAGTCTTCAGAGATTGGAATTGAATCCAGATCACTGGCACTGAAACAGCAGTGCTAACCACTAAGCCTCCAGCCACCCTCAGAAAAAGCCTGTGTTTTTGATTTTCATGCCTCCAGTGACTGACTGAACCATGAAGGTGCTGTACATGACTGATTTTCCAAAATATTAAACTATTAAAATCAAAACAAACCATCTTGCAGATTAGAAGTTAAACATGAAGCACTGATTTTTAATTATATTTTATTTTAGATATGCATCTTACAGTCATCCTGTTAGGCAAACCAGCTTGCAAACAAATATACAAAAAACAAAACAAGCATAATGCAACGTACACTGTAACTGGCACTAGTGTTCCAAAGCTTAAAGAAAATTAAAAAGACTGCAACTTCTGACTTGTTATTCCTCTGTTCAGAAGGATAAGATTTCAAGCATTATCAACATGGCAACATAAACGAAACACTGCATAAATGCGCAAAACATACTCACATTTAATGAATTTATTTTGCATTTCAGTGAAGTATGTTGTAATTTTAACAGTGCACCATTACGGGCTGAAGACAGCCCTCGAGTTTTTTTTTTAGTGTCTTGCCACACAAAGAAAAAAGGCCATAGTCTTCACCTATCTTCTCTAATGCTCCCAACAAAGCAAAGTGCAAATTTTGCACTGTGCTTTCGGTGTGTAACAAACTGCATCAGCAGCATTCATTTGCTTTGAACACTTGCTATTTCAGAACAAAGAACCCAGTTAAATCTGTTATGCAAAACATTTTCTAAAGCCTGAGTACTGTCTTTGGTAGGCTAATATGGGGTTATATTTTTAAGATCTTCATTCATTATACACAACTTTAATCCAACTGCATTTTCTTAGCATTCTCCTGTGATATACTGTAGACCAATACAGTTTTCTTTTTAAAGAGAAATATAAATATATCCTTAATAACATAGGTATTAAACAGACTTTTCCAAAGGCACCAGGAAACAGTGAGGGAGAGTCAATTGTTGATAACTGAAAGGAACCAGTCAAGAAAGTGTTTCTTTCCTGATGTAATCTTCAACGAATTTCTGCTTGCACTTTGGGGTTTTGCCAACTCAGTTGCACATTCTTTTACTATTTTACAACACACCATACACATTTAAGTGACAGAGGAAGACCATCACTTTTCTCACGTTACCTGTGAGACATCAGCACTGTCCAATAAACACCTCTCTCAAAACTGCACCTACTCATGTCCCCAAACTTCAACATTGAACTGGAGACACTCAAATGACATGTTTAACCCTGACCTTCAAAATCCATGATCTTGTTGGTTAATAAGCACCGGTTTCAGTTTCCAAGTTATTGGTTTCTTTTTATATCAACTATCATATAATCAACTGTAAGCAGGACTGATTAGCAATATCATATGATCAGAATCGCAGCATGAAAGGATTAAATCTCAGTTTGAATTGCACTGGTCTGTTGCAACTGGTTATTATTGGTTACATTTTCTACCTCCTCAGTGGCATAGTTTGACACTCCTGAAGTTGCAGCCCCATTCTCCTCTGCAATGAAGCTCAGCTGCAAGATATCTGCATTTGGCCCTGTTGTAACAGAAGCAACGAGACCACCTTGTGATGGGCATGTCTCTAGACGATCATTCTCCACCTCTGGTAGGGGACTGACTGCTGAAAACCGACTGTGGTAGTCACTCGAACCATGGCTACAAGAAGTCTTCGTGCTCTCCATGTCGGATCCACTAAATTCTGAAAAATGGCTGGAGTGAGAGTCTGCCACAGATGGAATACTGTCACTAAGAGACGGAGAATCAAACTCACTTGAATTGGTGCTTCTTTGTTCAAGTAACTGTGCATCCATTTCTTCCCGAGTTTCGTTTATCTTCATACTGCCTCTCTTCTGCAGCTTTCCCTTGCACTTTTTAGTTGTTGCTTCTTTGGGCCACTTGGAGGCACTGCATCGATTGTCCAGAACAGGGGCTGTAGGTAAAATTGCTACACTACGACCAGGCATGCTGCTGTCTTCCACACTACTGCTTCCACTGTTGTGTCTGAACTTTGCAGGCTTTGATTCAATGTCAACTTGCACCTCCAAACTGTTGCCTTCTCTGAAAGCAGATGCACACACAAATGTCAAGTTCATTACAGGTGACTGTAGAATTATTTCATTCTCACAAAACATGTTCAACAATTTCAGATACTGAACTGGTGACAAGAAAATTGTTTTTTTTTAAATTCACTCATGGCATGAAGTCACCTTTCTGGGACTGCATTTATTGCCCATCCTTAATTGTCCAATTGATAGTTAAGAGTCAACCACATTGCTGTGGGTCTGTAGGCATATGTAGACTTGACCAGATAAAGATGACAGATTTCCTTTCCTAAAGGACACAAGTGAACCAGATTGCTTTTTCCGACAATTGACAATGGCTTCGTGATCATAATTAGATTCTTAATTCCAGATTCCTTATTGAATTTAAATCCCGCCATCTTGAACCTGGGTCCTGAACTTAGCTGAGTTTCTGGACTAATAGTTTAGTGATAATACCACTGGGCCATTGCATCCCCACAATCAACCCACCTTGCATCTTGTAATTCATTCCCTTGATGCAACATCTCAATTTATTTTTTGCCACATGGTGGTCACTGATAATGTTTTAATGACAAGTGGATAAACAAATGATACCTCTACAACCAGAAAGCTTTTGAAAATGAGTCTCAAGTAATGCCTAAATGCTAGGACTTAAATGAATCAACGTTTAAGGAGAAACAGTACAATTCACACTGTCTGGGAGAATGTTAAAATTAACAGAACTACTGACTTGAAGTTCTGCACAAGGAAAAGTGTGCTCTCCTGTAAGTTTATTAATTGGATCCCTATGGAAAATACATATACACTATTTGTACAAGTCATTAAGAGGAACAACCATCTGCAAACATGGAGTTAAAGGGGACTTCTGCAACAAAGGAAAGCTTTATGTTGAAAGCACCTGCATTAAATTTTACTTAAGAATGCTTGTTTAAATACGAGTTTTTTTGCTGCCTTGGTATATTCAAAAGTTCAATATTTAACAGAATAAAACTTTGCTTTACATATAACATGTTTTAGACCAGGAAATCCATTCAGAGATATTGAGTACAGAATGGTTAAATCTACCAGCACGTTCATTTACACAGCTCCTTCTTACCATTAGAATTTCTGACATGGAGAGTCTTTCAGAAAAGAGGCCATCAATAATCTTAGCAATAAATTACTTGAAACAAGGGAAAGACTAAGTTTTAAATCCACATTTTAATACAAGTGGGAAGTTAAAGGCTGCTTGAAGTTGGGTAACGGAGCACAACAACAGATTAAACCCAAACTCTTTCCAGTGGAAACTGTAATTTATGTTCTCCTATCTTTCCCTTTCTAAACCAGAATATATAATTCACTGGAATACAGAACCAATGAAATAGATGGTTTTCTTTACCTACTTGTTCATGTGAAAATATAGTCAAAGAAACTTAGATTTGCTAAGAACTATTATTTTAAAAATGAATTAGTATTAATATAACACCAACCAGAAATTCTATTTTAGAGTTCCGATGGAATTTTTAGCTATGGATAGTTAGGCCCAATCTGATTATAAATCCATGCAGGTGCCCTTTTAATCAATCAAAGCTCAGTGCACATTGAATAGAGGAAGGTACTGGAATAATTTTTCCACAACACAAGTTCAGATTAGGGTAGTCATTTCTGCCAGTTTGATTGTTCATTTCGACAACATACCCAGCTGACAGGATACACACTTAATTCTGGTGAGTCATCAACCTGAAATGCTATTTCTCTCAGCAGGTCAGGCAGCTTTTATGCAGAGTATTTTCAACATTTTGTGTCTTTTTAAATATTCCTACTACATGTCTGAAATTGAGTACAAAGATTTCTCAGCAGAAGTGTTCGGTTTTGAGGAATACCATGGAGTTCATCTAATATATCTGTTTAAAGTTTAAGAGTGCAATTTAAAAGAGTTAAACTTTCAGAAGAGTCACTGTGTAAACAGCATCACGTGAAGAAACATGCCTGGGACTATTTATCTACACCTTTCTGTGATTATAACCTGGACTGTGCTCTTGCAAGCAGGTGATAAAAACAAAAAACTTTCAATACCATTTTGTATTCAGTACTTTGTTAAATGCTGCAGAAATTTTGAAGTGCCCACTGGGCTCAGGATCAACATTGTAGTTTATTGCCCTGCGACCCAAAAAAACAGATATATGCAATAGTTTGATTCAGTTACCAACAGGAAACGGTAAAAATTCGGATAATATTTCAAGTCTATGACAAGTTTTTTCAGCATTTTCTGATTTTATTTTATATTAGTGCCACTTCCTGATTTCTTCAACCTTTAACGTGGAATGAAGATGCAAGGATAACAGATTTTATGTCCCAAGGTGATCTGCATGGGTAAAGGTGATTTTATATGAACCAAGGGTCCACCTGTCCCATCAAGAGGGCACACAGAATCCAGTAACACTAGTTGGACAGAAGCAGAGGATTTTCTCAGTGAATGATCACAGGAGTCACATTAAAATACAAGATCTCATCATTTAAGTCATTGCTGTTGACAGGACTTTGTTTGCAATTTGGCTGCTGCATTTTCTATATTACAATAATAGGTATCGCTGAAAGTACATAATTGACTTTGAAATATCCTAGGATCATGAGAAGTGCTACGTAAGTGTTCAAAATTGCACAATACTTTACTTGTGACCTTCCACACAGTATTGTTGCTGTCTATTTATTGACTATTATTAGGGTAACAATTAAAGAGCACATTTTTCTTTATATTAGAATTTATAAACTGTTTTGACTGCCACAACATTTTCCAATCCATGGTTTTTAAACTTAAAAACAATTCTTAATCCAAATAGCATTAATAGTGTCATATATTTAAAAGATCACAAGCTAATGAATTGATTTAAAACAAATGCCAAAGTGGTATACCTGTCCAGTGGATTGTAGGAATTGATAATGGATCCTGCCATGGCCCTTGTGCTGGCATTGTCACTGATGGTCCCAATACTGACCGTGCCAGATTCACCACTGAGGCTGCAGCGTTCCTTTTGAATATCTGCCTGCACCTCTAATCTGAGAGAATCAGGTCAAAAGTTAGTGAGATAACAGGAAAAGTACCCTTCTCAACAAAAACAAGATAATCACTGGGAATACCTTGGGCATGAACAAAAACACATGTTTGTGGCCTTTTAAACTTCCATTATTGGGAGGATGTGAAAGTAAAGAAGAAAGTGCAGCGTAGATTCAGTAGGAAAGGAGATTATAGTAATTGAAAAAGAGAAATTGCAAACTTTCTCTCCATCACCTCACTAGAACGGAGGATATCAAGGAGCGGCCTCAGAGATGCTTAAAGGTGTGAAGGATCACAACAAGTGGTCAACTATTTTAATCAATTAAACTATTGGGTATCAATATGCAACAGGCAAAATTAGAAGGGCCATTTATGCATTATTTTCAGAGGCTGGGCAGAATGTGAACTTCTGTCACAAAATGTTGTTGAAACAGCCCATAAATTCCATTAGAGAAACTAAATAGCTGAGATGTAGAAATGTTATGGAGATGTGGATTCAGCAAGAGTGAGAGGTCAGTGGAGGGCCAGTAGCACAGATGCGATGGGTCAAATGATCCATTTCCATGTTGCCATGACTCTTGGCCAAGAATGTGTCAATAACAATCACTATCAGCACTCAGTTGCATTCAGTTCCTTTGCCAATGGTTCATTACCTCCTCTGGGTCAACTTCTGCATCAGCTTTTATTATTTAAAAAGTATATGACTGAAAATATTGCAGTCGCTAAAGGATGACTTGTAATTAAAAAAAGACAAAGTGGGGCTTACCTATTGAAACAATTGACCATCACACTTCCAGAAAGGCTGCCTGTGATACTAGCTCCAGCCAGTGCCATTGTGCTTGCTGTTTCACTCAGGTTGTCTCGTATTGCACCTATTCTATCCATGTGACTGCCACTGGCACTCAAACTGCCCGTTAGGCCCCCAACACTGCCCTCTCCGATACTGGGGTTATTGCGGGCCTCAACAACAAAAGTGGTATCTAAATGGCAGGAAGAGACACAGCAGCAGTTTGTTACCTTTGGTTCATTTCAGTTTTTGCTAGCAATTAACACATTGAGTGGATGCTTTAAGTTACAAATATGAAATATCCTACAGAGTTTCCTGAAGTGTTCCTTGTGTTATGCTTTAAAACGTGCCTTACAGTTAATGTACACAAATCCTGCATGAGCACACACGTAAAAGAATCATACAGCATCTATAAAGGGATGTTTTCTGCAAGTTTGTAACGTCATGAGCCTAGCTAAGCAGCTTTGTAAGAATAGACAGTACAAACTGAACAGTTCTGCAGGTGTGGAACCTAACTGAATAATAGGTGTGGCTACCTACACAAAGCAGGAACAATGAGTCATTGAAAAGCAATAGCGTTGCACTACAGTAAGAAAAGTACTGACCTATTATACAATTTGTAGTTGCAGAAACCAAGTACAGAGACAAATGCACACAGCTAAACATGAAAAATAATTCACAATTGCATTTTAACAGGGAACTCTCCAGCCTTTTCAGTACAGTATGATCCAGTAGCAGTGTGACCAGGGTAAGGATTTTGAAATGAGAAGGCTGAATCTTACCCACCCCAGGTGACTGATTTGAGAGCAAGGGAGGGACATTATTTTACGAGTTCATCATCCAACGGCTAACCTAAACCTGCCTCCCATTTTATGAGGGGAAATGGAAATGTGATCTGCATGCCCTTGGGCCTATCCCACCACGAATTTACCTGCCCACTCAAACCCTTCACTCACTGGGGCCAGGCCAGTCATACCTTCAGTCTGGCTCTTCATCAGGTTTGTGTGGTGGGCCTGAAGAAAACAGTTTGGAAACCCCATTATCTGAAAGTCCTACTGACCATAGTTCCCCAGACTTAGATGTCTAGAAAAGCCCTGCAATTCAAGTTTATTTGTTGTTATGGTGCAATTGATTGTGTGGATCAAGAGGATTGTCAAAAAGGCTGAGATAACAAGGTGTAGAGCTGGATGAACTCAGCAGCCAAGCAGCATCATAGGAGCAGGAAGGCTGACGCTGCAGGCCTAGACCCTTCATCAGAAACAGGAATGCCATTTCTGATGAAGGGTCGAGGCCCGAAACATCAGCCTTCCTGCTCCTATGATGCTGCTTGGCCTGCTGTGTTCTTCCAACTCTACACCTTGTTATCTCAGCTTTTCAGCAAATGCAGTTCCTACTATCTCTGTCAAAAAGGCTGCTCTTGATGTGGCAGCTAAACCTTAAAATCAGGAAAAACAGAACTTTTGCAAATTTATATGAATACAGAATGAAACTTTTACATGCTTTCTTCCAACTCCTGTTCTCCATTTCTCCTGTAATATACAAAGCTCCACGGTATACACCAATATTATCCTAAGTACAAAGTCTAAATATCTTTGCACTGTACCATGAAAAACACTACCCAGCTACCAGCATGAAGAGTCAAACAAAAACTAAAAGGAAGATAAATGTATCCCCATGGCAGTTGGTTACATACAGTAAAATTGGTTGTTCAAACTTTATAGACAGAGCATAACAAGAGAAAAATTACCTCTAATACGCAGGGGTGAGAGGGAGTGAGTTAAACTAAAATGAATCTTTTCATAAATAGGTTTTTGTGGAGTTAAGCTGGCATGCTTTGGTACAATATACAAATAGCCCCAAGGTTAGCAAATAAACTGCTGAAATAACATTAATGTGTGCTCATGGAAGCATGTATTTGCCACTTCTTATAAATGGCAGGCAGCAACTAACTCTCTGTAGGGTAACAAATATAACAAAGCTAGTGCTGGATGAAGTATACTCAGTGATCGTGGCAGACAGTCAACAGTGCTGCCTATAGAAACATGTTAAGGTGTTGCTTATTCATTTCTATGCAAAGAACAGCATAAATTAGAAGCATCTAAGCACATGGAGATGAAATCTATAGATAACCACTTTAGTAAGTGAACTCCCTTACCCAATGCTGCATTTCCTCCACCAGCATTATCATTTTCATCATCAAATTCTATCCGCACCCCCTTCCCAGTGCCAGCAGAAACACCACAGCCACCACTACGGCACAGTGAGATGGGGACTACTCCATATACATATGCCAGCATAATGGGAACCCCAATACCTGTAAAAGCAAAATAGGAAAAAAAATGTACTTAAAAACACACCCATTTGATGCAGGAAATGTTTGTACTTTTATTACACTGTCAATTTCGTTAACTAAACCAGGTACCACATCCAAATTAAAGACAGAATATTTGTCAACCTTTGCAAGGGCTAGATGTACAGGTGGGAGGAAAGAGAAAAAAAATTGCTGGCCAAACCAAAACAAAAAAAAACCAAAATCTTTTGAATGGTCTGCAACTTAATAAGAGACAGATATAAAAAGACTAAATACCTTTAAGTATATTAAAAAGACTAAGTATAAAATGTAAGTGCTACAAAAGCAAAAACAATGTTATAAAAAAAAATTGCAGCTTGCACTTAAGTAGAAAAAAGTAACACCCACCATTCAGAGTGTAACATTGCAACGTACGATACAGTTGGATGCTCTAGTTCTATATTCAGCAAAACTAGGAAGTAATAATAGGAAGTAGCAAAGACTTTGAACAAGTATTTTCTATTGGTCTTCACAACAGAACACAAAGATTCTCAGGAATGGTAAGAAAGAACAGGACACAAAGGGAGGAATACAATTACAAATCACTTGAGAAAAATGTATTAGGAAAAGTAATGAGATTATAGTCTGCCAAGTCCCCAGGACCTGACAGCTAGAATTGAAGGTGTTAAAAAAGTGGATGCATTGGTTATAATCATCTGAAATTCTATAGATTCAGCAGATTGGAAAACCACAAATGTAACACCCATTCAAGAAAGGGAAGGAGACAGAAACCAAAACAGGTCAGTTAACTGAACATTTGTCATTAAGAATGCATTTAACCTCAATAATGTAGCGTAGTACATTTAGAAAATCATAATACAACTGGAAAGAATCAACATTTTCCTGAACAAAAAGTTATGCTTGACAAATTGAGAGTTGAGAGAGAATACAAGAAGTAAATTATTCAAAGGAGAACTGGAATAAGCAATGTATTTGGATTTCTAAAAGGCATTAGATAAGCTTCCACGTAAAAAGGTTACTGCTCAAGATAAGAGTTCATGGTGTTGGAGGAAATCTATTAGCATGCATAACTAAGAGGATAAGTGAATTATTTTCAGGAAGGCAAACTGTAACAAGTGGAGTGTCAGAGTGATCAATGCTGTAAATTTTTTACTTAAGATCTGCATCAGCGCCTTGGATGAAGAGACCAACTACACTGTACACAAATTTGTTGATGATACAAAGATAGACAGGAGAGCAAGCTGCAAGAAAGATACGAAGTCTGCAGAGGTACAAAGGACAAAAGTTTGGAAGATAGCAAAATGCGGGAAAAGGTGAGAATTTTCACTTTGCCAAGAAGAACAGAAAATGGGATTTAAAGGGAGCAAAATTGTAGAATGCAAATGGATGTCCTGCACACAAATCATAAATTACTATGTAGATAAAGTAATTAGGAAGGCAAATGGAATGTTGGTCTTTATTTCAAAAGTTTTGATTGACAAGAAAGCACGAGAGAAAAAAAAAGGGTGGAATACTTCACCTTGAGTTTTGGTGTATCTCCCTAATCCAATGTCTGACTGCTCCTCAAATTCTGGTGTACCAATGTCTACCAAAGGATTTATCCCAACGCTGGTGGATTAGGGAGGTACAACCTATACTACGTACAGTTTTGGACTCCTTATTTAAGGAGGGATATGCTGGCATTAGAAGCAAGCAGGAGTAAGCGGTTGTCTTATGGGAAAAAAAATAAGCGGGTTGGACCCACGATCATTGGAGTTTAGATGAACGAGATGAAGGATCTAACTGAAACAAGGGAATCTGAGGGAACTTGATATGATAGATGCTGACAGCTAGTTTCCTCTCATGGGGAAATCTAGAAACTACGGGACTGTTTAAAAATAAGTTGCCTCCTATTTAAAGCAGATATCGAGTCATAGAGTTGTACAGCATGGAATCAGACCATTCGATCCAACTTGTCCATGCTGACCAGTTATCCTAAACTAATCTAGTCCTATTTTGCTAGCATTTGGCCCATGTCCTTCTAAACTGTTCCTATTCATAAACATATACCCATCCAGATGCCTTTTAAAATGTTGCTATTTACCAGCCTCCACCATTTCCTCAGGCAGCTCATTCCATACACACACCATCCTGTGTGAAAAAGTTGCCCCTTAGGTCCTTTTTAAATCTTTCCCCTCACCTTAAACCTATGCCCTCTAGCTTTGGACTCTCCTACCCTGGGAAAAGGACCTTGGCTTATCCATGGCCAATTATACGAGGAATTGCTTCTATCAGGCCTTTGGAATTTCCTTTCACAGGTAATATTGATGGCTGGGTATTAAACAGCCAAGACGAAGTTAGATTTTTGATCAAGTTGTGGGGTTCAAGCAGGAACAAGTTAAGACCATCATTAGTTCAGCTATGATCTATTGAATGGTGGTACATGATCTGAACAGAATGGCCTACTCCTGCTCTCATTTCTTAGGATCTTATGGAAGCATTGTGAACACTTCTGAAGCACTTACAGAAACCTCAGGGAAAGGAAGTTCTACTTCAATCTGCATCATTAGCACACCATAAATTTAGAGTCTAGCACCTGCCAGTGGATCAGCCTCTGACATCAATATGATCTGATCACAAAGACGGAGCATGCACTGACAATGTCTGCACCCCTCATATTTTCCAACACGACCATTTAAAATCAACCCAGATCAAAGTTTCCAGAAACATTATCTTTTCTTGATTGATAACACTTGGTTCTTCAGTACACAGGTCCACATGATCAAAAGGTTCATCTTTCAAGGTTTCAATTATGTGCTCAAATTTAAAGACCCAAGGGGCAGAACTTTCATCAATGACAGGAGTTCAAGAGAAAGGATAAATGAGGCTTTGCATATACTGGTGGATGATCAGTTATCACACATTTTACATTGTTGCAGTTTATAAATTTGACAAATATCACAATTAGGGAGTTCTCCCTGATGTCCTAATCTTTCTGAATTAGCAAAATCGAAACCAAATTGTGGGGTCTGGTTACGCAAGATGCAATCCATTAAACAAAATTAATATATAAAAATTATGTCACTAGTTGCAAAGTGCTTTGTAATATCTTTTCAAAGGCAAGTCCTTTTGTTTCAAAATTTCAATTAGGATTTTCGTTTTTGTTCACATTGTGCCAAATAAAAAGCAGAAATAGCCAAGAGACCTGGGGAAGCCAGAATCTCAAAAAGAGTGTTGCAGGAGTAGGCCAGAAACACTACAAAAATGTTCTGTTCTCAAAGTGTTTCTTTATCCCTTTCAAGTCCAAAAATGTATAAACGAGGCCATGCAATACTAATACATTTACTAAAGTAAACAATTCTTCACAGTTAGGATTGTGGAGAAGTGGCAGCAGTTTTTTTTCCCCTTCTGTAAATGACAGTGTAATTTTAATCTAATATATTTGATAAAGATGGGAACTGTGTAATTTGGCAAATCATCACTATTCCAACAATAATTGAACGAACAAGTATACAGTTCTTCTCACATTTCACTGCCAAACATTCACAGGGAACGAAACCTTTGGCACAGACAAAACAATAAATTTCGTTAACGAGAGGATAGTTAATATTGTGTACACCAGTAAACATCTTCAGTGAAGGGAAGTACAATACATCACAGAAAAATATGATGCTGACAGTACAGATTCAACAGCTAGAAACCTTGTAGCTAAGGGAATTTTTTCCAGTCAGTCAGTGCTTCAATTTTGAATAATGTACTTAAAACCAGTATTATCAAAAAACATAGCTATTACCCAATGGTCATTGAACAGACTTCTACATTGTTGAATGTCTGTTTCCTTACCTACAGTTACTGCAGCGACAACAGGAGAAACAATTACTGATAACGTCACGCCTCCAGTGATTGCCAAGTTCCGTTTATGCTTTGAAATATCTTTTCCTTCATAGCGATTATGAATCTGAAATTCAAAAAAACCTTCAACGTGTAAGATGCTTTCCTTCATTACAACCACTCAGCATTCTACTACAATAACATACATTGGTTTGGGTTCTCTAATGGACAGCTGAAGAACAGGAAAAATGAGAGATCTGCATCTTTTATCCAATTCAGCTCCTATGAAACACCTTGATTTGTTTTTACATTCAGAAATGCTATATAAACGCAAGCTACAACTGCAAGACAAATAGAAAGAAGTATGGATGAAGGGCAGTGATGGGTCACAGATGATGTGTGGGGCAGAGTTGGGCAGCATAAGTAGGAGCAGGAGTAGAAAGTTCAGCCTGGTCAATCAACAATATCATATCTGAACTCCTTTAACAATTCTACTTTGCTGTTTTAAATGTACCTGAATAACTGAGCAATCACAGCACTCTAGAGTAGAATTCCAAGGATTAAATATTCCCTTGGGTGAAGGAATCTCTTATCTAACTTCTATGCGTGTAATCCATTACAGACTCATCACCAAGGGGTAACACTCTCCTAGCATTTACCCTGTCAAGCCCCTTAAGAATTGTAATGTTTTCATGAGATTGCCTGTATTTTCCTAAACTCCGGGGAAAACAAAGACCTGGTCTAATCAATGTTTCCACTTAAGACGACTAATTCCAGGAACCCTCATATCACTTGCTCTAAAGAAAGAATGCAGTCATAACTAAATGTATTCCAGGAATGATCTCCACATAGTAGTTTATAGCAACTCAAATTCTGTTACGTTTTCAGCCTCTTAAATGGTCTAGCAGACAAATATACTGTCTGACTGAGGCCTTCTCCAAGTAGTCCATTTTCATAGAATCATGTTTTGCAGCTTTTTTTTGGTCTTTGGGTTGCAGCTGAAACAAGGTTGTACAGAGCTTAGTTGTTTTTCATTATAATCAACGTATGTTATGAAAAGTGACAATTTGGGCTCACCGTTTATTGCTGGGAGGCCCTAAAATAGAACTTTGTCACTAAAAGTATCTGGTGGGGCAGTGGAGGTGGCAATGTACTAGTTTGCTTAGTTTGTCATAGATTCTGTTTAAAGATGGTAACATTAAACATTTGTTTATGTTTCAGGCTGACTTGATGTTAAATTAATTAATCTTTGATTTGTAAAAGTTCTTTTGGCTAATTGAAGAGAATTGCAAGATGTTCTTATAAGGGGAGTGCTCAAGCTCTCAAACCCAAGCAATTTCCTGTAAATGACAAAATGGACTAGAATCTATATCTAAACATTGCCACCTCCACTGCCCCACCAGATACTTTTAGTGACAAAGTTCTATTTTAGGGCCTCCCAGCAATAAATGGTGAGCCCAAATTGTCACTTTTCATAACATACGTTGATTATAATGAAAAACAACTAAGCTCTGTACAACCTTGTTTCAGCTGCAACCCAAAGACCAAAAAAAAGGCTGCAAAACAAATAAAATCAGACATGATAGTTGCACACAAAATATTAGGCTAGGCTGAATGCCACAGATACTGCATAATGCCAAAAACTTCCAGGACTGGCTACTTACTACTGATTTCATATGTTTTCTGCTTACTGCAAAAGGTTTATTTTGCACAAGCAAAATAAAGGACAGTCCTTTTTTAAACCCATATGCACACGTGCAAATATTTTCTCTAAAATAGAATCTTGCTTTATGAAAATGTACGCTTCACAAAAATGTAAATGCAGATGCCATTTCCCCCTCATAGAAAAGATCAGTTTACTTTTTGTGGCAGATTATTTATTCCTCCATTTAATTACTTCTTTCTTGCTTTACAGTCCTAACTACGCAAACCAAATTCATTACTAAAATGTTACTGTGTTGAAATTAAGCATTGAGCATGTGGAGGAAATTGAAAATTAACTAAATCGATAAACCAGTGAGAGTAAGGGTAGTGCATTGTGTATCTCTGAACAACAATGAAGAGTCTGAACATTAGGTCTCTCCCTTCAAGGAAGGTAGGAACACTGGAAAAAGAAGCAGGAATAAGTCATTTGGCCCCTTAAGTCTACTCCACTTTCAACCAGATCATGACTGATCTTCTACCTCAATGCCACTTCCCTGCACATCGCCACATAGCTCAATATTTTTAATACTTCGAGATCTATCTACCTCTATCTTGAATATATTCAAATGTTTGAGCCTCAACAAACCGAATTGAGAATACCAAAGATTCATCACTCTCAATGGAGAAATTCCTTATTTCAGGTCATAAACAGATCATTACTCATTACAGTAGTAAAAGGTGGCATTTGGCACACTCAACTTCATTGCTCAGACCATTGAATATAGGAGTTGGGACGTCATGTTGCAGTTACACAGGATATTAGTGGGGCCACTTTTGGAGTACTGTGTACAGTTCTGGTCACCTGCTATGGTAAGGATATTAATAAACTGAAGACGGTGCAGAAAAGATTTACATGGATGTTACTGGGACTGGAGGGTTTGAATTATAAGGAGAGGCTGGAAAAGCTAGGATGATGATTTTCAACTGGTGAGTAGGGCATCAAGTGGTGATCTTATAGAGATTTATAAAATCAGGAGAGACAGATAAGGTGAATAGAAAAGGTCTTTTCCTTAGGGTTAAATGGTTCAGAACTAGAAGACATAATTTTAAGGTGACAAGAAAAATTTAAAAGGGGCCTGAAGGGCAACTTTTTTCCAAAGTGTGGTTCATATGTGGAATGAACTGCCTTAGGAAGTGGGAGATGCAGGTACAGTTAGAACATTTAAAAGACATTTTGACATGTACATAAATAGGAAAGGTTTAAGGAGATACAGGCTAAATGCAAGCAAATGGGACTAGTTTAGTTCAGGCAAACTTGCTCAGCATGGATGAGCTGGGCTGAAAGATGTGGTGCCGTACCATACGACCCTGACCCCGGTGATTCCAGGCTCCCCCAGCATGGTGGTCATGCAGGTGTATGCAAAATTGTGCGCGTGCAGGGGTTGGTGGGGGGGGGGTTGACTAGGGGGATGCTCTTCAGAGGGCTGGTGTGGACTCAATGGGCTGAATGGCCTGCTTCCACACTAAGAATTCTATGATTCTAATAACTCACTGATAGTAGCAATGACCAATACTGCACACAGTGGCTGAACACCAGGTCTATCCCTCATCCAAGATTCAATCTTATTTAGTGTCACTTTACCATAATTGGTGTTTGACAAACATCTTATTTTCTCCTCAAACAAAATAAGATGTGCCCCAATAGCGGAATTTAAGAAGTGAACCCAAATTGCTAATGAGATTTATGAAAATTTGTTTTTTCTGGTTTTAGAAATGAAATATTGACAAAAATCCCCGAGTGAACCAGAGGGATTACTGTCTCATATTTAAAGAGAAATAAAAGCAATAACTCTCGGCAGGTACAAATCTTTTAAGCCACAGACACGAAGTGTCAAAAACCAGACAAAGGGTGTATGCTGTTTCCTTTCCCACATGTTGAATGCTGAACATTGAGTAGTATAACAGTCAGTATAAATACAGACTCCATACTCATCATTATGGAATTGTCTGCAATATTATGCTTGTCTATAAGCTAGAGCTTTAAATATTTTCCCTGGGCAAACACTTTTTCATAATTAATAAAAACTAAAATTAATATTACGGTTAAAATTTAGAATTAAATATCAAATGTTTAACTTCCTGAACCTTGATAGGACCATTGTGGGAATTTCAAAAATCATTAGAATTAGAACATAGAACATAGAACATAACAGCGCAGTACAGGCCCTTCAGCCCTCGATGTTGCCCGGACCTGTGAAACCAATCTGAAGCCCATCTCACCTACACTATTCCATTATCATCCATATGTTTATGGAATGACCATTTAAATGCCCTTAAAGTTGGCGAGTCTACTACTGTTGCAGGCAGGGCATTCCACGCCCTTACTACTCTCTGAATAAAGAACCTACCTCTGACATCTGTCCTATATCTATCACCCCTCAATTTAAAGCTATGTCCCCTCGTGCCAGCCATCACCATCCGAGGAAAAAGGCTCTCACTGTCCGCCCTATCTAATCCGCTGATCATCTTGTATGTCTCGAGTAAGTCACCTCTTAACCTTCTTCTCTCTAACGAAAAGAATTTCTGAGTCTTAAACAAAACGCAATGATACATAGCTGTCAGAAGCCACTACTACAATTAACTAAGTTGGCAAGTGCTGCCCAAGACCTTTAGTCAGCTAGAAAAACCCTAGACATACTATACTCTATCACACATCTTAAAATGAATAGTACATTGTGAAAGGAGCAGCTTAAATATTTGCCATCTTTCACAACTTGTTCTGCACAAACAAGTTATTCTGAAGAACATGCAAGTGAAATTTTTCTTGGTTAGCACAGTCAAAATTATTTACTCTTTGCCCTGTCTTTTCCACTGTAGTAATTCCCAATAGATTCTACACAGAAAGAACATTTATTCTAAGTACGTGCACAGTATTGTCTGTCAGGAGGTCTATTTCTGTGTGTTTTGGGATGGTTTGTTCAGCTGGTTGGATGGCCAATGTGTAATGCAGAATTACACCAAAGGCATGGCTCCAATACCCATGAGCTATGGTGGTCTCCTTGCCTTGCCCCATGTTGGCAGAGTGGTGGTCTTTAAGTTATATATTGATTATCTTTCTAATGGACAGTGATGTCTGTGACCCTTTGTGGACTGGTTAATCACATTTCTTACAAATAGATATGGAGACCCCAAAAATAATTAACTAGTTACTTTACATCTCAAAAAAAGGGAAGCAAACACAAATCTGATAACAGTCAGCAATAAAGCCAAACCTCCTCAGAATGAACTGTAGTTGTCTGAGTTTTTAACATTAAATAATACCATATTTTTTAAAAGAATATGTACTCATGCTTTCTAGAGACCATTCCAAATTCTTTTCCATTAAATCCAGAAAGGAGGAGGGGCTTCAAACAAGAGGGTCAGTTGCTTTCGATGCACAAACTCTGCATCACAAAGACTTAAACATGCACAGTTCATCTACTAGAGATTTTTGTCCTCCAAGAAAGGTTAGCATCAGGGAGAAATTCTTTGGAAGGATCACAGTCAGAATTGTACAAGATTTAGGATTACTTCAATAGTTTTTGGATTCTGTTCTGACAGGCCAGTCTAAATAAAAGCAAGAATAATACAACTAGGCAGAAAGAGAATGGGGAGAAGAGAGGGGAATGAACACCTGTATGTTCTACTGCCCACCATGAAAGAAATTTTCTGAGATAGCATTTTATGGAAAAAAATAATAAAAAAAAGTGTTTTTAATGCAGTCTACTTCACAGATCTGCTGGACACAGCACTCATCTGAAACCCATTTTGAAAAATTTATTCATTTAATTAAAATTTAGAATGTGGATTTAATATCATTTATACAGACAATAAAAAGAGAGATTAACAATTTGACATGGCAAACATTTATTAGCACAGTTCACAACTTTTTGGCAGCTGTGTCTTACAAGTGAAAATCTAACAAGGTCATGCAAAATATAGAGGAATTTTTTTGTTTAAAATTCTGAAACTTAAAATCGATTGCCAGAAACAAAAACGTACATAGTCCTCAAGAATACAAATTGGATTATTTTTGCCCTATTCTAATCCCCACTGTCCTGGTTCTCAATCTTTCCACTGCCTCCAGATCAAATCAAATCTACCATTAAAAAAATGCAATTCAGATGTTCCTTTGTCTCTAAAAGAGAATGCTCGAATATGGGTAGTAGTACTTTAAGAAACCTTCCTTAACAAGACAGAAACATAGAAAATCAGAAGAGTGGGCCATTCAGCCCTTTGAACCTACTCCACATTCAGTAGAATCATTGCTGATTATCCAATTCAGTACTCTGTTCCCACTTTCTCCCCGTACCCTTTAGCCCTAACATATAACTAATTTCTACCTGAAAACATTCAATGTCTTGCCCTCAAACGCTTTCTGGGGCAGAAAATTCCACAGGCTCACCACTTTTTTGGATGAAGAAATTTCTCTTCATCTTAGTCCTTAATGGTTTACAACTGTATCCCAAGATTGTGACCCCTGTTCACTGGGAACATCTTTCCTGCATTTACCCCGATATAGGCCTGTTAGAATTTTTGGTTTTTAAAAGAGATACACCCTCAATCTTCTAAACTCCAGTGAAGATAGCCCTAACCGATCCAGTCTCTCTTCATACATCTGTCTTACTATCCCAGAAATCAATCTGGTATATCCTTGTTGTACTCCCTGCATAGCCAGAACAATGTTCCTCAGGTAAAGTGAGCAAAACTTCACACAATACTCCATATGTGGCCTCACCAAGGCTACGTACCATTTCATCAAGACATCCCTGCTCCTACACTCAAATCTCGTCACAAAAGCTGACGTAGCATTTTTCACCATCTCCTGGGCCCCTGCATGATTATTTTCAGCAACTGGTGTATACGGGCACTCATGTCTCATTGCACCACCTCCCTTCCCAATTTGCTGCCATTCAAATAATAATCTGTCTTCCTGTTTTTAAACTAACAAAATGTATAATTTTTGATTTATCCACGTTATACTGCATCTGCCATGCGGTTGCCCACTGATGCAACTTGCCTAAATCACATTGAAGCATCTCTGCATCTCCTCACACCCAACTCTGTCACCTGAAAACTTGGTGCTCTGGTATTAAATCTGTGATCGTAGACTCTAGCATTTTCCCCACCAATGTTAAGACTATGATTCTGGTCTATAATTCCCTGTTAGCACTAACTCCTCTTTTTAAACAAAGGAGTGGAGTTTCATTAGCTACCCTCCAATCCATAGGAAACTTTCCTTGGTCTGTAGAATCTTGAAAGATGACCACTATTTCTATGACTAATTCTAAGGCCACTTAAGTACTCTGGGATGTAGTTTATCAAGCTGTGGAATTTATTAGCCTTTAATCCCATCAGTTTCTCCAATATTTCCTGACGAATATGGATTTTCTTCAGTTCCTCCCTCTCACTATACCTTGAGACTTTTGGGATGTTATTTATGTCCTTTGTGAAGACAAACCAAAATACGTAGTGAATTGGTCTGCCATCTGTTTCCATTATAACTTATCCTGCTTCTAATTGTAAGGGACCTACATATGGCTTCACTAACTTTTTTTCTTCACATACCTAGAGCTGCATAAAGTGTACTACTGTGGGGAGACTCACTTACAAGTCAAGAGTCGCCATGTTTTAGATTCAGTAATCAAAACACAGGAAAAAGAGAAGATTCAAATTCCTCCAACAGGCAATGCAACTTTGATTACTAACAAGAAAATGTACTGACAAGTTCTAAATCTGCACAATGTATTTTAAAACGTTAAAACTGAGGTCTTTACTGTACCTTTCGGCCTACATATACAGGAATCCCAATAATCATGGCTGGAATGGCAATCCCTGCAATGAGAGCTATTCCAACAGGAGCACCAACCAACGTGCCAAGCTGCCACAGAATCTTCTTTTTACGACTCCAAGGTTTCTTTCCCCAAAACGTACAGCCAGATGGACTAAATAGGAGATAAAAACATAAGTCAATATCAAAAAAATTCAATTGGACTTTTCTAACAACTTTAAAAAAATGAATGTTTTTAAAGCTCACCACTTAGATATATACAGGACAGCATATTTATGGAACAAAGGCACTTAAAAATATTCAAGTGCTGACAAATAGGTGATCATTTGACACCTGAAATCCATAGTTAATAAAAGTCATGAGAAGGTGTAAAAAAAATGACTTTACAACCTGCTCTCATTAAATGATTTCACAGATTGAGATTTCACTTTTCATATGACCTGAACAAACCAGTGCAAATTACAAAAACAGATTACAATCTTTCATCTGTTATCAGATGCTCATTTGAATAACAATTGAGGGTAGTTTCCAAATCTCACTCAGCAAATCACAAACCGAGACGAATAATAAAAGTAGTTCCATCACTTGTGCTTCAAATAGGAATGAAAATTGTTATTTCAATAGCACTTAGAGTTATCAACACAAATACAAGCTGGATACTCTCCTTGGACAGGCTAAATTATGGTAATTATGATGCAACTCTTTAAACACCTGTCTTACTATCTTGTGAGCAGTCTGACAAGAAAATGTGTTAATTGCAAGCTCCTTTGTTTGGAGGAAATGAAAAGTGGAAACAAAGTTGCTAAAATTATTAGAAGAGGACGGAGAATATTTTTCCGAGAAGACAGAATTAAACACAATTGGGCAAACCCAAAACTAAGCACTGAACAAATGTCTATCGGATTCATCGCTATACATTGAGTGGGAAATAGTTTGGCATTTGGAATATAATGTGGGAAATGGTGAAGTCATCCACTTGGTAAATAATATTTTGTTTTTCTATTCTTCCTCCCAAAGATAGGCTACAGAACGTTGTGGTACACAGGGATCTGGATATCCTGTACATAAAATCACAAAAGTTTGGCATTCAGAGACCCAGCAAGTAATTAGCATAGCAAATGGGACACTGGTCTTTATTGCAAGGTGAGGATGCAGTATAAAGGCAAGGAGGTTTTGCTACAAGTGTACAACTGGGGGGCTGGTAAGACCACACCTAAAGTACTTGTACAGTTTTGCTGTCTTTTCTTAGTCAGAGATATCCTTGTGCTTGAAGCAGTTCAAAGAAAATTCAGGAGGTCAGTACCCCAGGACGTAGGGGCTGTCTTATGAGGAAAAAGGTGAAGCAGGTTGGGCTTACATACATTAGACTTTAGGACAATGAGAATTTAAAAATTGAAATGATGTAAGCATCTGAGTGAGCTTGACAGTTGATGCTGACATGATGTTTCCCTCATGGGGAAATCTAGAACTAAGAGACAGAGCATCCAAACAATGAGTTCCCCATTTAAGATGGAGATGGGGAAGAATTTCTTCTCTCAGAGGATCATTAATTTTTGGAATACTCTACTCTGGAGAATAGTGAAGGCTGGGTTATTAAATATCAAAAGTTGAGTTAAATACAATTTTGATTAAAACAGAAGTCAAGGAGATAAGCAACAAGTGGAGTTAACAGCATGATCTTACTGATTGGCACAGCAGTCATAAGGGGCCTGACTCTGCTCAAATTTATGTTATATTCTTAAAAATATGGTATTCAAATAATATGGATTTCATTCAAAATGAATAAGACAGTGAAGAAATTGATCGTCAGTAAATTAACGGGGCCTGAAATCTCATTTAGCATCAGGAGATTCATTTGAATGTTATTTCCTACCTGACCTATTGGCAGCTCCCTTATTCCATGAGCCCTCCTAATTGCAGCCTCTTGCTCCATTCAGAATCCCTACAGTGTGGAAAGAGGCCGTGTGGCCCAACAAGTCCATACCGAACCTCAGAGCATCCCACCCAGAACCTATAGCTCCCCACCTAATCTACACATCCCTGAACACTATGGGCAATTTAGCATGGCCAATCCACCTCGCCTGCACATTTTGGACCATGGGAGGAAATCTACACAGACATGGGGAGAACGTGCAAAGTCCACACAGACAGTCGCCAGAGGGTGGAATCCAACCTGGGTTCCTGGCACTGAGAGGCAGCAGTGCTAACCACTGAGTCACCGTACTCCTCCCAGTTGCAAATTCTTGATTTCCCCCTCCACTCCACGAATCACCCACACAACCCGATCAATTTCGGTCAGATTCGATCAGAAGTTGCAGTCCAATGTTGTGGCAGTGCGAGTCCCGATGGTTAAGCAGTCCTGAAGTTTTTGCAACCAACATGGTTTTTTCAATGACTTTCAAAACTGCTCCTACCTCACGCTCTTCTTCCAAGCACTTGGTCATAGTGAGGGCTCAAGAGAGGGAAAACTATAAACGAGAACATTTCAAGACACTGATCTTAAAAGCTCCTGCACTTCTGAACCACTGGGACTCTTACTTTTACAAGATCGGAGATCCACCTTCAGACTCCATCTAGATCTTGGATTTGAATGCAAGTCCTGAGAAGGACAAGAGGGAGGTTAGACAACAGGAAGGCCAGTACTCACAAGGTCAAGGAAAGAGATGAGGCCATAACTCAAGGTCGAGGAGCAAGGCAGGTTTACAGCAGCCAGAAGGATCAGGAAGCAGTATTATAGGTGAGATGAAGGTAATCCAAGTTTCAAGTTACATTTTACTTTCATATTTTTAAACTTATTTTATCTTAAAAATTATTTCATTTACCAGTGCAGGAACCTAGCATTGCAAAGGATTTCAACTTGAAGGGTATAATATTTGCTTTCTCCTGACAAGTCCTACAGAACTTGACTATAATTTTAATATTGGCTCCTATGGGAACAGTGTTTCACTGAAAGTTATTTCAATTCATGATTTTCAGGAACACAGCTTCAAGTTTTAACAAGGATGTACTGTAACAAAAAAAGCTTCCAAGCCCATTTATGTTGCATTTTAAATATTTAGGAATACTTTTCCATCAGACATGTGCAGAACCAGCTTTCCACGCTTTAAAACAAACCCAGTCCAGAATAATAGATACCCTGCCAATTCACTTAAATACTAGGAAATAGCATATGATGTTCACTGTTGTCAGTTGACATTTTAAATACAGAAAGTTTGAATTTTGGACTTATTTTAGAAACTCATTTCATATAATCATCTACTGACCAGCAACTTCATCAGGACAATTGATAATGGTAACTAAGACAAATGTTTTGATATTAAAGGAATTGTGCATTGCCAAGATTTTTAACCAGTCGAGATCAAAGTGCAGTCTTTGGATAAAGCAAAGACATGGAAAATTCCATATTTCCAATTTAAATTTCTTCATCTGCATTTGTAATATAACTGCCTACGTAATGTGGTTGTGCTGTAATTACAATCTCTGGTCAGTGGTGGTGCTACAATGCCTCCGCTCCGGCAGCTATAAGTTACAACACTAAGCAATTTTTGGTATTTATAATGAAAACAATGGATACTGCATTGGAATGCCTCAGACGTGGAAAACACGTTAGCACCCACCAGTTCTAACCAAGCCATCAACACCCAATTTATCACACTGCTTGTCCAGCATCCAATGCCAGATATTTCCTCCAATTAAATGCTAAAGTCAAAAGCAACCATCTTAGATCCTCAACAAAAACTAAATTTCCTAGACACTAATCTTTTCCAATTGCTGTCTGAGGCTGACAGATTGTTTGCATACTTGGCATTCTCAAAGAATCTGAATGAAGCTTTTGACATCATGTATTCTCCATCATTAACAGCATCTATTTCCATTTCTAACATGGAGCACATTCCACTTGTACTGGTAAAATCTCAACCTTGCTTTGGTTATCTTTAGGCTCAACTATTCAAGCACCCTCCTAAAATAGATCTATTCCAAAATCTCAATTGCTGGTATCTTGACTCGCACCAAGTCCCACTCACCCGGTCCCCTTATGTTTGCAGATATAATTGGCTCAGATGTGACAACACATTGATTTTAAAATTCCCGTTGATCTTTTAAAGTCCTTCACGGCATCACCACTCCCTTGTTCTTTCACCTCCTCCAACCCTACGACTCTGCAATTCCGGCTTCGTACAATTTTTTTTAACTCCACCAGTGGCAATCATGCCATCAGTCATTTAGTCTGGAGTTCTAGAATTCCCTTCATAAATCTCTCCAACTCACTAACACTCACTCATCAAGACCCCCTCGTGGTGACCTTAAATCTGTATGTTCTAACCTCTCTTCCCCTTAACTAGAGCCAAATTTTGGTTAATAATAAAAAGTGTCTTGGGAACTTATACAACTTAATAAAGGTACGAAGTAAATGGCAATTGTTGGTGACATTCAACACTGAGAAAAATCCTAAAAAAAGTGTCCACAATTCTGGAATCAGCCTTTCAAAATTTAGTTACTGTTAAAGACTTACCTTAGATAGTGTAAGTCAGAGATTTCTTTCATGCAGAGCCAACAGAACTCACAACCACATACTGCACAAGTCATATGATTGCAGCTTCCATCATTCATTTTTATTATGTATGCTGCACATCGTGGACAAGGCTTAATATCATCTGCTGTGAAATAAGAGGCAATGGTAAATCACATTGAAAAATATAAACAAACAAAAATAACTAGGCACAAGGATCCAATCTTTGTAAACTGAATTAAACTGTGCAACCAGCTTTTCAAATTCTTAAACCACAGACTAATAAGTACTCGTTAATTTCTATTTGCCCCCTCACCTTTCAGTTCATAGGCTTTTTATTATTTGATTCCAGATGGGATTATGCATGTTACAGCCTTGAAATTAATAATACAAGTTAAAGCTACCATGGCACACAAAGTACCCACTGTTCGCTTGTGTCAGAAGATGATCCATGTTATAGGATTTAATCCAAGAAAGGCCAAGTATACAGGACGTAGAAGCTGATGTTCACATCCCAAAGAGTGACAGCCCTGATCTGACACCCATTTGGACTTGTATCTGGGAGACTCAGGCACCTGTCTGTTGCAAGCGAGGGCCCTCCTTGTAATGTGAATCCAACAAGGAAGTCAGGCAAAACTTTTTCCACCCAGAGTGGTTAGAATGTGGCATGTGCTATCACATGCATGATTGAAGCAAACGACACAAGTCAATTTAAAGGGAAATATGAGACAGCAGAGTTTAAATAAGCTGGGAGAACACCAGTGTTGACTATAAATCACTGACAAAGACGAGCTGGATTGAATAGCATGTTTTTGTGCTTTAACTTTAGGTTCTAAGGAATGGAGAATAAATCTCACACATGATCCACTGCAGCAAGACATGAAGTTGCTTAAACCAGGAAAGGTTGTGGAAAGTCATCTAAGTTTCTGTTTGGATTTTTCTGGAGCCAGGAAGAACACAAAGCGTCCGTCAAAAATGCCCCCTTTCACCTCCCCTCCCACAAGTCATATTTCTGAGTCAACTCCGTTGAAAGGCCATCCAGTCCAATGGTTGCTCACAGCTCGACAATGAAATAGAATTGAAACCTGTTTCACAAACACTAGGCAAGTTACCCAACGGCACTGTCTGCCTAATGTCCACACACAGTAAGAACTTCTCCTATTGTTGATAAATGTTATCATCTTTGACAGAAGTGTTCACAAGGAGAATTCACGTACTTGTAGCCAAGATTGTATAGATGGATTCTGTGGGAACATGGTGCCACTTGACACATAGGAACACTCAATGTTCTCAAGATTGTAAGTAATTTTAAAAGATAAACTTACACCATATCATGTATGATTGCACAAGCAGATACTATTTTGAGATTGCATAGCATGATGGTTTGGTGAAAGCAATAAGTTTTATATGAGTCACCTGTTTTCAAGTATTTATTTTTCCTTGCCAGCAAGATTAAACATGTACAACTTGACAAATACCAACATCTTCACAGGGGAGGTTCATGACAAAAATACACTGGCCCAGTTGTCTGTTTGGCCAAGAGAATTTTTAAAATGTCGATACGGTTTACAACATTAGAAAACTGGGCAATAGGACAGCAATCCTGGAAACCTGAAAAGATTGTGTGTTTCTATAGGAGATTCCATTAAGAAAATGGTTACCTGTGGAGCGAGATGGTAAAATCTGATTGACCAGGAGGCTGTTTATTTCAGGTAACCCCTTTCTTCCCGAAATCTCGTCCTGAACGTATCTACGAAGAGTCCAGTTTTCTGTACCTGCTGCACCAGATTCCTGACTGTAGCTGATTGATGAAGAGCGTATTGTTCTTAATCGCAAACTCTGCGCTCTCTGTTGACGTGCTGCATCGCAAGTCTGATTTGGATGCCATATTTGCTTACAGTGGTAACAGAACTCAGTGCCACATCCTTCACGGGCACAAGTGAGTTTAGGACAGCTGGCACAGCCAAACGCTATCACTGCATAACTGAAAAAGTAAAAATATATTAGTTGTGATCTATGAGAAAAACAAGTTCAGTCCTTATCATTGCTTTTTTTCACTGGGCATCAAATGAGTTCCTCAAATCATAAACAAGCCATATATGCATCCCAAATGATTCTTGGACTTCGCAAGTTTGATTCACTAAACAACTTCATGCAAACCTTCAAATCTATTTTACCAAGACTCAAAACTTTACAAAGCATGTTTGACCTAAATTCTAGCTCTCCAATTGAACAAATAAACCAAATTACAAGGTTAGTACAGTCATTGATGCCATTCTGTGACTGTACCAAAGTATTTTAGTTTATGGGTGTGACTATCGCAGCCCAATAGTATGACTGAAAGATTTGTAACATTAGTAAACTATTGTGACATTTAACCAGATCATCTTAACTTCCAAAGATGTGGTTCGAAGCTTCAAATGTGACCTAGGTGGTGGACAGGGGAATGTTTATGAATGTTGTTTATGTGGATTTCCAGAAAGCATTTGATAAAACCCCACACAAGTTTCTTAACTAAGGCGAATGCCTACGGATTGGAGGCAAGATTACGGACATGGCTGGGAAATTGTTTGAGTGGCAGACAGCAGAAAGTAGGAATAGTGGATACGTACTCAAAATGGCAAGATATGACCAGTAGTGTCCCAACAAGGATCCGAGATAGGGTCTCAATATTCACTTTATTTATTAATAACTTAGATAATGGCATAGAAAGTCATATATCCAAACTTGCTGATCTCACAAAGTTAGGCAGCATTGTAACTTTATGGTTTCATCTACACTGTCTACAAAGAATTATTGACAAACTAAGTGAATGGGTCAAAATGTGGACTTCAACGTAAGCAAGTAAGGAGGTTATCCATTTTGGGCTAAAGAACAATATAATGGGGGGAATCTGATAAAAAGTCAAGATATTAATGGGGAAAAAGAAGGGTAAATAAAAAGATATCACTGGTTGGAAATTAAAATATTAGAGGACAGAGTCTGAGAATTAGGACCAGATCATTCAGGTGGTGTGTGTCAGGAAACACTTCTATAATCAAAAGGTGGAGGATTTTGGAATGCTTTTCCACGAAAGGCAGTGGAGATTAGATCAGCTAATAATTAGACATCTGAGATAAATACATTTCTGTTAAGCAAAGGTATTAAGCGAGATGGGCCAAAGGCAGGTATATGAAAATAGGCCTCAGATAAGCATTTCTCATTAAATGGCAGAACAGGCTCAAGGGGATGAATAACCTACTCCTGTTTCTATGAATCTCTACAGAGACAAACAAAGCTTTAATTCACAGTATGGTTAGCGTACAGAACAACCCTAATGATCGTACAGTAACTGCCAGTGTTAAACTTTTATTCTCAGGGTTAGAAAACTACAGTCACAGCAGTATTCAGAAAAACTCAAGTTCAGAAACTAGTCAGGGTCAACTGCAAGGGACTTCAAGATGAAAACTGTTAAAGAAAGCACAAACAATTAAAAGTAAACAAATAGTTTAAATTTCTAGTCTCACGGCATTCCATTCCTCACTTCTTAGCTATTGTCAATAATTGAAGCACTGACTTTGAAAGTTAGGAATGGAAAAAAGGGCCAGGGAACACCATGATTTGACACCAGGCCTGAGGGAGGACTTGATAGGCAGGGTCTTCACGTGCAGAATTATATTTGACTTTTGTGCTTATTTCAAATTGGTCTTCAGTTTCGCAGTCAAGGCAGGTCATATTTTTAAAATTCCACCATGCAGCGAAGAAGCAACAGTGAGTTTGAGACAAACAGGGAGGGGTGGGATAGAGGAGTTGGAGGGGGAGCTGAGTAGAAAGAAAGACAGAGAGACAGCGAGAGAATGAATGAAAAGAATGAGAGAGAGGAAGAAAAGTGGGGGTGGGGGGGGGGGAGGGGAGTAGTAGAGGGGTGGGGGGAAAGGAGTCAGTCTTTATTTAAACTACTCCCTGCCATATTGAAAAAAAAGGTTAAAATTTATATATGTTACCCAGTTTAAACGTTTGCAGTGTTGTCAGGCAGCTTTGCGAGAAGTATTCAAATGTCACATACCCATCTTTACATGCAATTCTAATATTGAACAAAGTCTTGTAGTTTGGAATATTTAATAGTTTTCTGTTCCATGGTTTCAGGTTGGTTACAATTAATCATTGAGATTATTAGAAACGCCCTTAAACAGTTTATCTCAGTGGCCTTAACAAAATAATGTGGGCCAGAAAGGCAACAGCTTGTCTGCTGAATGATCTCCTTTGTATCAAATGGGGAAATACTTTGGTTGCTTCATGTTTGGCAAGGACGTTTAGTCTGATGTACCATTTGATTTTATTTTACTTTGAGGGCCAGGAACCATTAATGATTGCAACTGTACACATTGCCTCTTGCAGCCCACAGACTCAGTAAAACAAAATACTTCACTATGTTAACTTCATGTAAATGCAAGTTTACTCCTGATGTTAATACATCACAAGCTGGGTTTTTAGAAATTGACAATCGCGGAAGTGTGAATACAAAATGCATAAGGCATAACCCTTATCAGAAGTTATTTCTTTAGTTCTGTTGAGGACTTACAGTACATTTGTAGGCACAGCATGAGAAACAGGCGAAAGATTACACAATTCTGACAACTCAAATAATCCAACATGCATGAAAAGGTGCAAACTACCAATTCAATAAGACTCTCACTTGCTTCAGTTAAGGGCTCAGTTGAGTTACTGCAGTAAGTCAATATGGCCACTCGATTGTGCTGATTAATTATCTAAGTGAGGGTAGTAATAATGCCACAATTGTAGGACTTGTTGCACAGTGGTGGTGTCCCTACTTCTGGGCCAGAAGGCCCAGGTTCAAGTCTCACCTGCTTCAGAGGTGTGTCATATCACATCAACAGGTTGTTCAAATATATCTGCAGCTCCTACTGAGCTCCTAGAGGGGATCCTAGGACTGATCAGTATTCTCTCTTCTGATTGCAAGTAAATCAACCACTAGGCGGCATTGAGATTTACCTCATTTTTGACATATTCACTGGTGAATGGTCTCGGTATCACTATTGAGGCTCACAAATAAAGATCAGTTGTGGATGTTGCACAGATCGAGAAGCACAAAAAAAAATTGAATCTCAACATGCAATCAATATATACAGGAAAGAAGCAAGTGAATGATAGAAAAATACATGCAGTTCTTTTTAATTATTTACATCCACAGGCCTAGGTACAATACTGAATGTTTAAGTCCTAACTAGAATACAACTATGAATCCAGATGGAGTCAAGTTTGAGATTCAAAACAAATCGAGATTCAACACATTAATATGTGCTCCATAAAAATCCTTGAAGAATTTTAACATTTAACATTCAAAGTTTATACTTCCTCAAAATATTCCAACTGTTAATCTGTCAATGTGTAAACAAGATTGCAAAATTATAGAATATCCCCTTTCCAAAAATAAAAAAGAAATTATCTAAGTGTTTAATAGATAGCATTTACTTTAGCATTTAACAATACAAAATCAATTTTAATACAATTATAGAATGATTACAGAAAAGGAAGGGGACATTTGGTCTATAGTGTTGTTGCAGAGAATGTGCACTAGCAATTCAGCTAGTCCCAAATCCCTCAAGGATCTGCAAATAGCCTTCCTTCAGATAATTATCCAATTTCTTTTTGAAAGCCACAACTGAACCAGCGCCACAATTTCGGGCGGTGCATTCCAGATTCTAACCAATCACCATGTGGTAGGATCAAACCCATGTGACTTTCTCCAGTCTTGTTCCTGAGACATTAGAGTCAACTTTAAAATTAGAGAGTAAATCCTTCTATGACTTAAGCCCCTCTCCATTTCTCTTGCAGCCTTACAATCGCCTAAAATCTCTTCAATCCTCCAATTTTGTTCTCTTCCACATCACTCATTCTTCTCACTCCACCATTGATGCTTATCTTCAACTATTTCACCCTGAATTCCTACCTTTCTTTCCTCCTTTAAGATGCTCCTTAAAAGCCAACTTGAGATAAGCTATCCAAGTGATCTAAAACCATTTAAACCACAACACAATCTCTGGAATATTTTTAATCCATTCATACGCTAATTACATTTGCGTTAACATTTGAGATCAAGAAGGGTCCACCGCACAAGAAACTCAGATTTTGCATGTAGACGGACAGCCAGAGCCAATAGCCTTGGCTATTGATCAAGAATGCTATTTAATAAAACTTCAGTAGTCACAACTAAAAATTGCACCCACACAAAACTGAAGGGTCAGCTAAAGTTAGGGACCTAATACCATGCACAAGATATTTGCTGAAATTGATTGCCTTTAAGTGGGATTTAAAGTATAATGCTCTTATTTAAATACTTGAGAAGTTACCACTCCCATTTCTACATCAAATCAGAACTTCCATTTATTTATACTTTAGGTTACAACATTTTCACTCTGGCGAAAGTCAAAAATGCAAGACTTCTTTCTCAAAAAGGGGGAGATAATTAACTGAAATTTTATTGGCTACAAATCTTGCTGCTCATTGGCAGCCAATCAGGAATGGTTATCTTCATTTGGTGTAATGTTGCATTAATCAAAGCAATGAGCAGTTGAAAGTATCAAAAACTGTAGCAAATTGACAAAATATAGCTTTTCAATATCCACTCTTGTAAATTAACAAAACAGCTTCTACTGCATTAAGCCCTGAAATGGTTACAGTCAGAGCTGTACAGCATGGAAACAAACCTTTTGGTCCAACTTGCCTATGCTGACCAGAGATCCTAAATTAATCTAAGCAAATTTGCCGGCATTTGGCCCATATCCCGCTAAACCCTTCCTATTCATATTCCCATCCAGCTGTCTTTTAAATGTTGTAGTTGTACCAGACTCCACCACTTCCTATGGCAGCTCATTCCACATACATACCACCCTCTGCATGAAAAAGTTGCCCCTTAAAAAGGTCCCTTTTAAGTTTTTCCCCTCTCATCTTAAACATTTTTGACTCCCTCACACTGCAGAAACAACCTTGTTCTAGTCACCCTACCTGTGCCCCTCATGATTTTAGAGGTTTATAAAGTTTTTGGACTTTGTGGCCAAAAGCCCAGAAATACATTAGGCTATTGAAACTGAGTTAAGCCCCAGGGAAAATAGTTTTTACTGACAGCTCTGGCTCTCTGTTCTCTGTCAATTGCACAATTTTACACAAGATAAAGAGATTCCAAATTCTTGCAGTTTCTGCTACAGATACATTAAATAATCTCTTGATTTTGCACAAGCCAACCAGTATATCAGAGAAGTTTCTTTTTCAAAGTGGAAAATAATGAATGAATGTCTACTTGTTTTTTAAAAAAAATAGTTCTTTTACAAATCATTATCACTAAAGGAGTTCATTCCTTCAAAACAATATAGTATAAGAATGGACACGGAAAGGCTTGGCACAGGAATTTAAAAAGGGCCATTGAAAGTTGGGTATGGCTAGTTAGGTTAGCTAGCACAGGTGCAGCTGGCATCTAGAAAAAGAATAATCACAACCTGGAGCCACTTTTCCTTCAAATGCATGGAGGGAAGGAATCTCCTAACTCAATACAAGCTGGACAATTTCCTTCCACCTCTGAACAGAAAATATTTCACAGGCAATGAACATCTTTGATATGCCTAAATAACAGCTTTGACACATCCTTCCTAAAATATTCTGACGACAATCAGTGCAGATTCCAATCCTATTCTCACCGAATGTTCCAAACAGATTTCCAGAAGAAGTTTCTGAAAAGCCATCAGCAACGACAACCAAGACAACATTTTCCTCCACCTGAAGCAGGAACCAGCGGCAATAGTTGGCCAGGGATTAATTAATTTATGAACTAAACATATAACCTTCTTAATTTGTGCAATCATCTGATGTACCAAATTGCTTGTTGAGAATATTGGGGAGCACTAGTGGTTAGAATTGAGAAACCATAGAAGCAAGAGTTACCATAAAACCTGTTGCATTACTTATACTTCATAGACAACTTATAACCAGCAAATCTCAAGTTCAATAGTCCTATACTAGCCCAAGTGATCTTCCACCTATGGCTAAAGTTAGTATTGCTGGCTTTTAAATTATACAAATTACTTTAAGTTGCATGTCACATTAATGCCCAGGTGTTTAAGCATTCTATAAATCGAGCTAGATTCAAACTTTGGAAAGTATTTATTCAAAATTGAATCATGAACTCGGGGACTAACTGGAAAAGTGTTTCAAATGCATAGTAGAGTCAGAAAGTTGCCATACGAAAAGCAAGATTCTAATCAGAGACTTCCGGTCACCAAAAAATGTTTTAACTGTGGTGTTAAACAGCTTTGGACCTCATTGCCAAGTTCTCCCTGCTTTTGTGAAAAATTAGACTGACTTAGTGAAAATGCTTAATGTAATTTTAGCATTAGAAGGACATAAATATCTATGACAACAGTTGTTAACATATGTTACTACATAATTACAGAACAGTGCCTTGCTCAATTCACAGAATGCATTTAACAACTCAAAGTAGCGATATTTTGAACACTGAAGAAGAATTCTCTTCCCTTCATTTGCACGTCAACCATGATATATCTAATGTGGTCTTTCCTTACCCACAATCTGGAGCAGGGCACCATCTACAGTCTGGATCTGCCACCAGCCACCGGCGTAACATAAACTCCTCATACTTCTCCATAAGCACATCATCATTTAAAATTGACTGGATATCATGTGGATTGAATCTCTCTGTACATTCTGGGCAGCTGATATTAACCCGACTTTCAGAGATCTCTATCCTCAAGTACTGCCGTAAGCAGTCTGCACATGACCTGTGAGGGCAAGTCATGATATCTGGGAATCTGTCCCTAGACAGACGCAAAAGGCACAGAGGGCATTCAAGAAAGTCTCCATTTTGTTTGTCAGTAGATGCAGTCCCATTTCCAGAAG